AAGGGACCCCCATTATTATCGAGTAGAGCTAGTCAAAAAGATACGCCAGTAGAATTTCATTCTATGAATCTACTCCTTTCATTGAAATATTTATCCTTACAAATTGTAAAAGCAGGTTTAGGCTTAGATCTGGCTTACTTTCAGAATTAAAATATAAAGAATAAGGAAATATCCTCCTTTCTGCTACACTCTTGTAGTGGATAGCAATAGTCAAATAATGATTGATGAGTATTTTAGTTGTTATGTCTTCGTATTTAAACATGAATAAATCAAAGAGTAATTGGGTTGAGGGACTTGAACGAACTTATAGTCTAGTGGGTAAGAACACATTTCCACAATAAAAAATTTCCATATATGCATCAAAATGCAAATTGTTGCAGGAAAATCACTCGTTTAACTTGTAAATGTCTGTTCAATCTAGTCTCGGTTAGGAGAGAATGACTAAAAGTTGCCATCTTTATATCTGTTTTTCAAACCGTAGTCATGATGCACAATAACGTATTTGCCAGAGTGATAGTTGATCAATTTAATAAGAAATTATAATTAGAAGTCTGTTTTAGAGGCCCAACATTTATTCCACGATAAACAAGTGTGTTTATATTAGGTATCCATCTGAATGAGTATAGAGCAAGAGAAAACTTTTCGTACATTAGATGAATTATCTGGGAATCGGTAGGAAATGAACATAAAGGTAAAAATTTAGTGAATATTTTGCGGTGATTTGCCATGAATTTCACATGGCACTTCGGAATATCTTTCCCACCATACAAGCCTAAGTTAAGCACCTAAACTGTAGGTGTTTTGACTTTTATGTCTTTAGTAGACCTAGGCATCACATGAATGCCCATAGTTAAATTATTACAAAAAGCCAATACAAAAAGTCTTACATAATGAGGACGTCAGTTTTTCCTGAGATACTTTCAAATGACTAGGCAAAATTTTCATAGCTGTGACGAAATGTGGTAATAAACAGGCATGGATAATTTCCTAATTTTCGCATACCACCTAACGATGCCAAAACCAGTAGCATAATTTCGGGCGAAGATTTTTGCAACTTTGAGCAAATATGCCATCTAATACAACCCTTCGAGGAAAAAATCCCTTTCTGCAATGTGATCTAGCTTGAATTAAGCAAAATATTAATTCATTGCATAGTCCAGCCTATAAATCTTCTAGTGTGGTTTTATGATATTTTGTCTTTTTTTATAAACAAGGCTAACATAAATGTATGCTTTTTTACATTAAATTTGACTAAGAATCTAACTAACATATAGCACATTCCTCCATAAGAGCATTACGTATTGTTTCATATAGTTCCACTTAGGGACAGATCATTTAACTTATATTCCATGAGTAAAAAGTCTTCTCACGAGGATTGCCTGATCTCTTTCGTTCTCCAGTCCTTAGTATAGGGTTTCAAAATAACTTAATAAAGAAATTTGACTTTAGACTCAGACAAATTGTCTAATTTTTCGCATGAGCTGATTTTCCATGAGCACATTTATGGTGTTTTGGAATTCTAAAGGATTTTTATTTGTGAGTAGAAAAATTATTTTTTATGCATGACTAACTTAGCATAGGCTTTCTCCAGTAGAGCCGACCAAAACTCGAGTGAGTCACTTGAATGCATGAATATCAATTGCTTGCCTCCATAACGCACGGGAAGTCTGTCATCAATTAAAACTTCAACCCACTGACCGAAACGCCAGAAACGAAAGCGAAATATTCCTACATAATCTGGTTGTTGCATCGTCTGTTTCGGCGGCACAACCTGTACGAAAAGGTCCTTGTGGAGGGTCAAGGAAGAAATTACGGCCAAGAGCCAGCAGTCACCTAAACAAAGAGAGAATTGAAGGCTGAATATTTTGTTAGCCGCCATAATCATTGAAGCCTTGTGATAACATTGATATTTAGACGCTTAGGGTAATTAAGATATGCTGAGAAAATAGAAGTCGCAGTTTCCGTAACAAGAATCTGAATGAAGGTACTCTCCGTTAGTCTTGTGGGTATAATTAACTTTGTCCTTCATCAGCTAAATCAAATGTATACTCCATTTTGAGCCGTATACTGAGTACCAACTCATTATTTGGCCGACTAGTTGGCTCATATATTCGGTCATATTTGTTGGCCTGTCTCATTATTTGCTTTTATAAGATTCATCTGTGCTCTTCATTCTATCAAATTATCTCGCTTTTACGACACTAGAGGCAGCACCACTTTTTAAGCACCTTTAATTAGTCCATTTAATTATGAAAAACTGCGCTTTTTTCACGAAACTTTATTGCTGCAGGTTTCTACAAAAGACGTTTGACTCCAGACAAACCTGAACTTTCGGCCTCCTTAATGTTGTCCTGAAGCATTTTCAATACTGTATATTATTGGTGCATTAAAATGCCTAAGGAACACCATCTGAACCCAGAGTTTCATTAATATTGAACAGTTGAATAACTGAAAGTACATTGTGTATTCAGGCATGTTGTTTTACCTTATTTAATTAGCTCCGAAATG